AACTGAAAAAAAGATGTAGTCTTCTGTCTTACCTAAGGCAGCATTTTTATTATATTCCCCAAATCAATTATGTTTGTGATGATATTTCCAATCCAGACACATTTATTGATTAATAAAAAAAATGCTTCAAGGGATTCTGTTGTTTGAAATATTGATGCAATTTTTTTTCTGTTAGGAAATGTAATCAATATATTTTGAAACATCAAGAGTTACTTCAATTGAGCACTTGGCGACCTTTATCAGAGATAAAGCATAAATACAAGTGAACATCCATTTCACAGAATTGTATAATCTGTTTAAAACTACAGTGTAATTTAGAGTGTGGTACTGACATGAAGACAGACAGACTGAAACAGAGAGCCCCCAAACAGACCCTTGACTATATGGTCAAATGTTCTTCAACAAGGGTGCCCAGACCACTACACGGGAAAGGACAGGCCCTTCAGCAAATGGCTTGGAAAACAATATCCACGTGCAAAAGGATGAATTTGGGCCCTTCCTCAAACCATATACAAAAAATAACTCAAATTTGATTAATAATCTAACATAAGACCTAATACTATACAACTCCTAAAAGAAAACAGCAGGCAAGCCTCATGACGCTGTATTTGGCGTGGATTCCTTGAATATGACACTAACAGCACAGGCCGCAAAGCAAAAATAGACGGAGGAGGCCGCATCCCGCTGGAAGCTGCTGGCGCATCAGTGAAACGATCAGCAGAGCCTAAAAGCAGCCTGTAAAACGGGAGGAAATATTTGTAAATTGTATATCTGATACAGGGTTAGTATCTAAAATATATAAAGAACTCATACAAACCAACAGCAACAGAACACCCAACTTAAAAATAGGTAAAGGACTTGAATAGACATTGGAATAGAAATTGGAGCCTTTGTTCACTGTTGGTGGGAATGTAATCTGAGGCAGCTGCTATACAAACAGTATAAGGATTCTTCAAAAAATTAAAAATAGAATTACCATCTGATCAGAAATTCTGCTTCTTAATATGTACCAAATAATTTAAAGCAGGATCTTCAGGAGTTGTTTACATACCTGTATTATTTGCAGGATTGTTTATAATAGGAGATGGAAAACCCCCAAATGTCCACTGATGCATAAATGGATAAGAAAACGTGGTCTATGCATATAATGGAACATTATTTAGCCTTAAAAAAGAAGAAAATTTTACATGCTACAACACGGATGAATTTTGCAGCTGGCTCCTGGCCATATTTGCTTTATTTACACAGTAATTCCAAATGTTAGTCCAAGGACTAGCAGAGATCTAGGTCTACAGGGTAATGGAACAGTAAGGATGATACGATAAGTTTCTCTTAAAATTTGTTCAGTTAGAAAGGACTGTTTAATTCTGAAGTTATGCACATCTTCAATGTTCTTTGAACAACATACTTTTTTTCTTAAAGAAATGAAAATCATGATAGAGTTTTTAAAGCCTTCATTTGAAAAAAGAAAGAAAGAGAGACAAGAGAAAAGTATGAACTTAATTCTGGAGAACCAAGAGTTGTTTGTTTATTGGCCCGACAAACATAAACACTGAGATTACCCCTCCAAGGCAGAGGTGAAGTTATTTTCACTGTGGTTTTAATTTTCGTTGATGACCAATAATGCTGAGCATTTTTTCATGTGCTTATTGACCATTCATGCATCTTCTTTGGTGAAGTAACTTATTAAAGTTTTGCCCAATGTAATTGAACTGTTTACCCATTAAGTTATAAGAGTTCTTTATGTACCTGTGGTGGCCGAGTAAAAGCCAGGAGGAAAAGCATAAGGAAACGAGCTAAGTGTCCATCGATATGCGACTGGATAAAGATGTGGTACATATGGACAATGAAATATTGCTTAGCCATAAAAGAATGAAATCAGACCATTTGCAAAAAACAAGGATGGATCTAAGTAACAATTTTCAATCTTTTCATCTCATGGGACACAAACTAATTACTAAATTTTGTCCCACCAATATAATATATATTGGTAAAAAATTATCTATCTGACAAAAATTGTTATAATTTTGATTTATGCACACCAGACAGCTAGTGTTGTGTTGGCTGTTGTCATTTTAAAAAAAATATGTTTTTATTGATTTCAGACAGAGGACGGGAGAGGGAGAGAGAGGTAGAAACATCAATGATGAGTCATTGACCAGCTGCCTCCTGCTCGCCCCCTACTAGGGATCGAGCCCAGAACCCGGGCATGTGCCCTGACTGGGAATCAAGCCCTGACCTCCTGGTTCTTGGGTCAGTGGCCAACCACTGAGTCCTGCCAGCCGGGCTCTTGACATTTTTTTAATTTGAAAAGCTACGGGAAAAGAGGTCAATGCCCTGGACTCAATAGTCAGGTATTGCAAGTTTTAAAAATTCTTGCGGCACACTGGTTGACAATTGCTGACCTAGAGTGTTTTATGCTAAGTGAAATAAGTCAGATAGAAAAAGACAAATACCATATGATTACACTTATATGTGGAATCTGAAAAAAAAATGAACAAACAAAATGAAACAAACTCATAGATACATAAGATAAACTGATGGTTGCCAGGTGGAAAGGGGTTTGCAGGGCTGGGTGAGAGTGTTGGAGGGATTTAAAAGTACAAGTTGGAAGTCACAAAATAGCCACAGTGATGGAAAATACAGCATGGGGAATACAGTCAATAATATTGTCATAACTTTTATGGTGCCAGGTGGGTACTAGAATGATCACTCTTGATAATCACTTTGTAAATTATATAAGTATCTAACCACTATTCTGTACACCTGAAGCTAATATCATATTGAATGTCAACTTTAATTAAAAAATTGAAAAAAATAATAAAGTGATAGCACTTCCTGCACCATGACAGTGGCTACTTTTCTAATCTTTGAGGGATAGAAAACATTCTCTGCATCTCTCTTTGAGTTTCTTTTAACAAAATAAGAGGAACTTGTAGTTTTCTAGTTTAGTCTCTAGAATTGCATCAGCACTAAGTCAGGAAAAACATGTAAGTGACCCAACTGTGCATGTGGGAAAGACAGGGCCAAGGGAAGGTAATTATCAAACGGCCCAAGGGGAGGCGGACTTTCCATCCTCAGGCACCCTGTAGGGGCTCCATGTCCACCCTTTACCTGGATGTGACTGCTCCTGGGATATTGGTCCATGACGTCCCAATTCCTTTTCCTGCATGTTTCTTATCCGGGGAAATGATTTGTGATGCAGCTGTTAGGGCGACAGCTGGGTCTCGTTCCATAAACATGTATATTACCTGTGAACTGGGATAGTCAGCCTCCCTGCCCTTCCTGGTACAATTATCTTCAAGTTAGAAACTCCCTAGAGGCCCCAAGGTACATTGTGGCCACGCCTCCCTGCCTGGGACCTGACAGATCAGGGATTGGTTCTCATTTGACAGAATGTGTCCATATCCTTGGCCAAGGAAACCCCCTTGCTGATGAAGGTAAATTCTGAGGGGGGGGGGTGTTTCTGAAGCTCATGCTCTCAGATAATCACCAGTTTACACATTCACTCATGTTGTTGCTGACATGTCTAGTCTGGTAGCTGGCCCGAGCCCACAGAGCTCGTAGCCCGGCTGTGGCTCTGCTGTTTTCCACAGTCATGTGCTGTGGTCATGGCATGGCGGCTATGATTTTCCTGTTAGCAGCTTTGATAGATGAGACATGAGAGGGGCAGTGCAGGGAGGTCAGTGGAATGTCATAAAACTGATGATGCAGGGGCATGGACACAGCCTTACCTGTTCTAACACTGAAATGCTCCCAGCCTGGGTGGAAATGGACACTGCTCTGAGCTTGCCCTGAGGACCCACTCCATGATCAGGAGCTAATGGGTTATAACCTGGCCTTTTGAACATATTCCCCCATAAACACTCTATAAAAGCAAGGCCAGATGAATGGCTTGGCAATTGTGAATTATCCCCTCTATTCAAAGCCTGTGTCACTGAGACACAGCAGGCTGGCCTCTGCCAGGGTGGCCTTCTCGGTGGAGCCAGGAGCTGAGTGTGATCCTGATTCCTGACATCCCAGGCTTTTCCTGGCATGGCTCAGCCTTCTGGGGTTGTGATTTGCTAGAGAAAAGAGAGGTAAGACAATACCTCCAAAGAGAAAGAGACATGTCAGTTTCCAGGGCGAATCAGGGCTGTGGGAAACGAGGGTGCCCAAAGGATTTCCACTGCAGGACTGTGAAGCTCCTGAGGCCCACTGCAGGACTGTGAAGCTGCATGTAGCGATATGTAATAACTCTTGTGCCTGGTGACATAGCCCAGGAGGAACAACTTAATGCACTTTTGGGCATCCATTTGTCTAAACTGCTCTGACTGTCATCCAGAAGAGAACCACATTGGCAGCAGTGGTCACATGTCACTCAATCTTTGCTTTCTTTAGGTTAGGGGTAGGGTTAGAGTTAGGGTCAGAGTCAGGGTTAGAATTTGGGGTCAGGGTTAGGTTAGGGTTAAGGTAAGGGCCATGGTAAGAGGCTTAATGTCAGGGTCAGGATTAAAATGGTGTGGTCAGGGTGAGGGTTAGAGTTTAGAGTTTAGGGGTCAGTGTCAAGGGTCTTGGAGTCCTGGGTTAGCATTGTTAGAGTTTAGGGTTTGAGGTTAGAAGTTAAAGGGCTTGGGTAGAGATTAGGAGGCTAGGATTAGAAGGTTAGGATTAGGTTTAAGCTTTACTGACACACTTCCCATCTCCCTTCTCCATCTATCTGAGGCCTTCAGGATGGACAGGACTTGCCCAGAATCACACATGAGCCAGGGGTTGAGCTGGACCATTGGCTGTCTGTCCCTCAGTCTGAATGCTGATAGTAGAAGAATAAAATGCCTGCTTTGGCCTTTGTTTCAAATCCAACTCAACCACAGTACACGGCTGTGGAGGGCCTCAGAGGTCACAGGGTTTTCTTCTGTCCTAGCACCTGGGAAGGGTGGTGCTGGCCCCACTGTGTCTAGACAGGTTCCAACACAGCCCTGACACACGAGGGCACTCAGTAGACAAGTGTAGATTTATACAGGGTGCAATGACCTGCCACCCCCCAGGAACACCTTCCTAAGGGCAGACGGGGCCCCCCCAGGACTGGCGGGATCCTTTGTCCCATCTGAGTGGGGAGCAGTACACAGTCAGGACTGAGGCAGGACAGCCCTTGGCTCCCTGCCATCCAGGCAGGCATATGTGCTCCTTCAGCTCAGGCCAGCCTGGACCCAGTCGACCTCCACGGCCAATAACTGCGCTGACCGTGCTTCTGGGCGACTGAACTGCTGCCTGAGCAGCGTCAGCAGCCCGTTGGGATTTTTCAATTTTCAACATCCATGTGGATGAGACAAGCACCACCTCGCTCAGAGCCTCTCAGCCTTCCAAGAGAGGTATTAGCCCCGCACACAGCCACCAGCCAGCAGACTGGACCTGCAATCCTTTGACCCTTTCCCGTTGTAACAAACCTTTGCCATTTTCACTCACTGAGAATCAAAGATTGGGAGCAACTGCATCTCCCAACAGGCTGTTTCACGTGGAGGCTGCGTGGACTCAGAGAGCCACATGTGTCCATGGTCCAGCCCCTTGGGTCTTCAGTAAGTGGACCAGTTGTAGGTTCCCAGGTATGGAAAAATCACTGAGCCTCACACTACTTCACTGGCAAGAATTTTCTTACCACCCTCACATTTGGTCTCTGCTCTTTGTAAAGAAGAGAAAGAAACTGAAAAATGAGCCACTTTGTTCTTTGGAGATGGCTGGTTAATGTGGCCAGGGGCCAGATAGGACTCTTG